TGAAGGCCGGCGTGGTGAATCCTATTCCATCGGCTTGCGCCGTCCGACGCCGGTGCATCGATACTTCGAGACCACCACGAGCTGACGCCTCCCATTCCTCCTTGGCTCTCCGACCGCCTGCGTGCTTCCCGTTTCTAGTTTGCGTTCTATCTGTTGTGTGCACCCAGACCAGGACAATACTCTCCCGTAGGCATGCAGGGCGTGGCCTCCAAGCCCATGCGGCTGCTGTCAAGCCATAGAACTGTCCGAGGGCGCTGAGGAGGGGGGCGGGGCCATCGTGCGGCAACGTCCCGTTACTTCATCGCGATCCATCCTTCCTTTGTTTCCCCCATCCCCACGGGGAAAACTGGCGCTCCGAGCTGCACGTCGTCAAAACATTCCGGCATGGGGTCCGTTGCCGAGACTCGCGGGTAGGGAGCAATTTCCCGCAATGATCTGCGCCTTCTGGATCTCGTCGAAAGGAGAAACGACGAGCGGTCCATAGCCTGTACTGAATTGCCATCTTGCTAATAACTGAGTTGACAAAATCACAAATTTTGCTTTTGCCTGGCTACCAGGACTGTTCAGTTGAGTTTCTCCAGGGGGCGCTTGGGCGTCACCAGATTTGAGGCACCTACGTTTATGCTGGAAATCCAATTGAACAGGTGGGATTTCACACTCTTCTTCGCCACGAACATCCGCCTTGTTGCTCATGAAGCAAAACAAGATGCGTCTTAGCTGGGTCACGGTGGATTCCTCGTCGTACTAGCATGGCAGGTACGAATCGGGTCCATATCGAAGTTGTAAGGCAATGTGCATTGGTCTGGCGTCATCCAGCGTGCTGGCGGATAGGAGGCAGCACTAGAGGCAGTCCGTCCACGGGTGTCGTCAGAAGGGTGTAGCGGAAGGCTAGGCCGGGTGGGCAGCGCCCGCCGTTCGCCGACGGTTTTGACACAAACGCCACCTCCAGTCAGACGCATTGCATTGATCATATCAGACTCTCTTGCATTCGTCATCCTGACAGCGACTGCCAAGGCAATGGCAATTCAACCCGGCCAGTTATGATATCATGCGCTCTTGCAACGTCACGCCCAGCGTTCGGTGTTTGCATGTACAGCAGGTGGACATGCTCGCAACAGTACATGGAGCCAGATCAGTGTTGGCCAGAGTGACCGATTTCAAGCTTGGGAAAACAGGTTCTCATCAAGTCGTGCCGCGAGATGCCAGCGCTCGTCACAACTCAGATGCCATGCCGTGCCACAGAGAGCGTGGTGAGCGCCGTTGTGACCCCCGCTACATGAACATTGTACATGTACACCCAACCTGGCCTGGGCCTGGTCGAAGAGCAAAGACGTGAGGGGTCTACCCCGGATTCCCCACGCATGGTGGCCCGCATCGTAGATTAAACCACGCCATGTCGCCGGCGCTGCAACGATGCACGGAAGAATGAGAGGAAAACGGAAAGGGGGGGGGGAAGGAGCCTGGGCCGACCGGTCAACGGTGATACGATGCCGTGCATGAGTTTCTGGTGACGATCCGCATCAGCGTGCAGGGAGTGCGAGTTCCAGACCAGGACGAGGCTCGAGGATCCATCTGCGCTGTGGATCTGCGTGTCTGTTCGATGGAGGAACAGACGAAGGGAACCCGACCCGGTAGTGACGGGTCCCAGCGTGCAGGCCACGAACGTCATGGGCGGAGACGCAACGGCGCACAACGGCGCATGGTTGGGCCAATGACTAGACGGCCATCATACGGCGGCAACTCCCCTTCACCTGGATGTGGACCATGTCAACAAGAAGATCTCAGTCGTCTGAGTGCCTGCACAGCTGGAACCCAGCGGCGGCTGCGCGGATGACGCCTGTTTTCCCTCGTGCATCTGATGTCTTCCACACTTGTTAAGACGTCAGTCGGTCTTGAGCTCCATGGCGGCCAAAGCACCCTTTTGCTGACAGCCGACTTGCTCGAGCACTGCGGACGTACATCAGTGGACGAAGGATTCTTGCTTTGCTGTACGTCAGCCTACGCTCGATACACATTCCTCCGGTTGATTTAGGAGTGTGGTGGGGGGGAGGTCAAGGAGTTGTTTCGATTCGTTGAATCGTAGGTATCAAAAAGTACACTGGCGGGAATGACACGTCCGCCTTCGCGACCAGGCCCCCATCTCATGCTTCATCGTACACCATCCCACACCACAGGACCAAGTGACAGCTCGCCCGACAGCAGGACTCAAACTCAGGCCGTAGCAGCCTCGCCCTTTTGCGCCTTGAGCTTCTCCTCAAACTTGGCAAACTCCTCGAGCGCAATGTCCTCCTCGGGGTCCATGACCTGGTTCACGCTCTTAACTTCCTCGATCTGCATATTTTGTCAGTACGCATAACAGGCAGAAATGCAAAAAAAAAGGAGAAAGAAAAAAAAAGAAATACTCACATAGTGCATGAGCATGCCCTCAATGCCATTCTTCAGCGTCACGGTGCTCGAGTCGCACGTGCGGCACGCGCCCCGGAGCTTCAGCAGCACGACGCCGTCCTCGAAGCCGCGAAACTCAATGTCGCCGCCGTCCTCCTGGATGGCGGGGCGTATCCTCGTCTCGAGCAGCTCCTTGATCATGCCGACGACCTCGCTGTCGTCCTCGTTGTAGGCGAGGCTGTCCTCCTCGGCGGGCGCGGCCTCGGCGCCCTCCTTGACGACGACGAGGGGGGCGCCCGACGTGATGGCCTCGGTGATGAGGGCGAAGATTTCGGCGCGGACGTGCGCCCAGTTGGCGTCGGCGGCCTTGGTGACGGTGATGAAGTCGGCGCCGTAGAAGACGGCCGTCACGCCGTCGATGGCGAGGAGCTGGGCGGCCAGCGGCGAGGGGTGCGGCGGCGCGATCGTGGCGCGCGGGTTGAGGTACTCGATGTAGGGGACCGAGATGCCTTCGGGCAGGACGCGGTGGTTGGGGAGGAACTTGAGGGCGTCGGGGTTGGGCGTCGGCTCGGTCTGGATGAAGATTGTGCGGCGCTGGGAGGGAAGGGTTGTGGCGGCGGTCTTGCGCAAGACGGATGGTCGGGAGGACGAGGAGGAGAAGGATGTGAGTGTTCGGCGGATGGCGGCTGTTCGGGATGCTGTGCGGAGAGACGGCGCCGCTGCCCTCGCTGGGCGGGCCAGCGCTGTGAGGAGACGGGTCGCACGGTAGGGAGTCGACATGTTGTTTTCCTTTGTTTTCCTTATTCCCCCAGGGATGTCCACTGATGACGAAAGGAATTGAGTGACTGTGGTGGTGTCGTGGTTGGTGTGTGAAGTTGAGTATCCGATGGTCGACTCGGCGCCGCCGCGATTTGGTCTTTCAACAGCAGGGGTCCAGCGAGAAGGAGAGAGGCGACCGAGCTTTTTCGCCGCTCAGTGCCGATGCATTACCAATCCTCCAGTGAGTGGGCTCCATCCCCTCCTCGGAGCTCTTCGTCTCTCTCGTTCCCTCTCGGCCCCTGCGCTGCCATGACGCAAAGTGGAGACCAGCACCAGCGAATGGGCCACGTCTTCCGATGAACTGCCGATTGGGCGTGGCCCGGTGGAGTCCTCAACCGCTGGAAGCTCCCTTCTTCCCCTTGCAGGGCGCAGAGTGCAAATCGCGGGGAGGGAAAGCGCGACGGGGGCCAGCTACTTTTTTCCTCTGAGCCTGTGGTGGTCTCTCTACTCTGGCCGACCAACGGCTTTTCACCTCAGCCTCTCCCCGCCACCAAACCTCGACATTCCTCCGACGGCCGCCTCGACTCCGGGGCATCTTTTTCTTGCGCAAGCTTTCATTTGCGCTAGGACTGACTGCAGGGCCCTGTTTCGCCGGGCAAGGCAACATGTCAGTGCCCGAGGAAGCGCTTGCCGGCGGCGATGCCAGGACCACCCATCCGACAGCCATGGAGGTGGACTCGCCGGTCGAAGCCACGCCTTCAGAACCCAATGGCATTGTGACAGCTAACACGAACCCGCCCGTGACGAACGGCACCGACACGACAGCTCAACCGTCCACCGACCAAGCGCCCGACGGCGAATCAGCGGGTGCCAACAACATTGCACCACCGCCACCGCAACCGCAACCGCGCCTCTGCGGCGTCTGCAACGAAAAGCCCGGAAAATACAAATGCACGCGCTGCAGCCTCCCCTTGTACGTCGTCACCTTGTAACTTCACATCTCGATCTCATAAGCAGTGTGGCCTCATGCTTCATTATCATTAAGTGTTTGCTAACCAACGCTTTCTTTCCTCCCACGCACAGCTGCTCCGTTCCCTGCAATAAGTTCCATCGTGAAAACCACCCACCAGACCCCGAACCGTCTTCTCCAGCCCCAGAACCGACGCCCGCTGCTGCGCCGGCTGTCGAAGGGCCACCGAACCCGTTCCGTACCTTGAGCGACTCAGACCAGCTCCGGTACCTCTTCCGTCGCTACCCCAACCTGGCCGACCAGCTACTTGCTATTGGCGCCAAGGCGGATCCGCCGCCGGGCGAGGCGCCGCCGACGACCTTCAGCCAGGTCATGGCGGCGCGGGCCGCGGCCGCGAGCGCGAGCGGGAAGCACCAGAAGAAGGAGCAATGGAACCACGACGTGGGGATCCGTAAGGGAAAGGAGGCGCTACGGGCGGCGCGCAAGATCGAGGGCGAGGCGGGGGAGGGCGTGAGGGAGTACACCGAGCTGGTGCTGCATCTTGTTGCGCAACAGGAGGCGGCGACGGCTGCCGCGGGGACGCGGAACGTCATTGTAGACGGATCCTCAACGAGGCAGGATGCCGAGCTGATCAAGAGGTTGTTGGATGAAGATACCCAGTGATCAGGAAATTAGAGAGCGTGGCGCAACGAGGCCGACTTTGGCGCCTCGGAAGATGGGGAAGGGGCTCAGGATAGGCCTCTCTTTGTACGAGTATTTTGGTCATAGGCATAGGGCGGCGTTTTACGGGGCCAATGGCAGGCATCTGGTGGTGCCCTTTCTGTTCTTGCTCGTTCATCATCAGTAATCCTTTCCGATGTCTGGCTCCCACACTTCGAGTATCGTATCAGTCATTGTGTTCGTCGCGAACCCTTAGTGGCTGACCTTGAAGCGCGCGAAGAACCCAGCCCCTCCGGCGACTTGAGCGACTCCCCCACACCCGCCGGCGTCCCCCTTGTCGTCGCGCGCGGTCTTGCTCAGGCTCCCGAGCCGACCCGCGCAGCGTCCAGATGGAGTCGGCCTTGCGCAGCAGCGGCGTCGAGCGTGTCTTCGGCCTCTCGTCGCTCTGCGTCCAGTCGACGCGGTGCTCGTTGACGTCATGGGGTGGCACCTCTGGCTCGTCGTCGGCGGCGGCGGCTCCCTTCCCGTTGGCATGGGGCCTGCCGAGGAGGTCGCCTGTGCTGACCCGCCGCGCCGCGTCATCGCCATGTAGCTGCTCCTCCGTCGCCTGGGCCCCACCGACGGCCGCCATCGCGATCGGGCCTTCGATGGTGTGCCTCTGCGGGTAGCGGCCCTGCAAGTCGCCCGCCTCGCCCGCAGCGGTGGCAGCCTCGAGGATGCGATTGCGCTGCAGCGTCTGGCTGTGCTGGCGATCGTGGGTTCTGTTGTGAGGAGCGTACGTCGTAAAGAGCCCCGGACCTCGTGCGCGCCGGGTGGCTCGGGGTCCAGGTCGGCTGACGTCATGGTGCTTGGGGCCGCGACGGTGAGCGGGTGCTGGCGCGGGATCGGCGGCATGGCGACGCCGGGGTCTGCCCCGGAGCGGTGGGACCTGGTGGTAGTGGCGGTGGTGTTGATGGCTCTGCGCGAGAACATGTGAGCCAGGTCCTGGTGCGCCATGTCGGCGGCCGTCGTGGTGCGAGCAAACTGCGTGGCGGCGACGCGGGGAATGTATGAGCCGTTCTCATCCTGAAGAGGTGGTGATGTGGAATCGATGGCTTTGGCGGCTGTTGGTGGTTGTGACGACTTTTTCGCAACGGCACCTGCAGAGAAGGCGTCTTGTGGATGAGAAGAGGAGGCGGCCGGGTGGCTCAGGGCTGGCTTGGGATGTCGCGCAGAATCCGTCTTGGGTGTGCGCCTCCTCTCAGCGTGAGCCTTTTGCTGTGCGAGAACGATGGACAGTCTTCTTGAGAGGTCCTCGGGGTCAAAGGGGACAGGCTGCGATGGTTGCTGCGATGGGCGAGGTTTCTGCCGGCCTGTTGTTTGTGTTGGGCGCAGCAGGCGAGACTTGGCAGAACCGGGCTGGTCCTGCGGGGGATAGTTCATGTTGTATAACATGTCGCACAGGATATGCTTTCGTGTTAGATGGGCGAGTGAGTGAGTAAGTGAGAGGTGGCAGTGGTGGGTTTGCGTCTGTCACATGTGCCAGAGCGCTTTAGCGTTTGAGGTTCAGTTTTTGGCCTGAAGCCCGGCGTAGGCAGTGACGGTTTAAAGTCGAGTTTGCTTTGTGAGTTGGTTTAGGTGAGGTGAGGCCTATGAGCTGTAGGAATAGGCAGGTGGTGGGAGAGTCGAAGAAATTGGACTTCCTGTTCGAGGCGAGAGGCAGGGAGGAGAGAGGGGGGGGGGAAGGAGTTATTATGCGTGATAACAAGAGTGTGGTCGGAATCGAGAATGCGGCGCACAACACAGAACGTGGGACACAAGACGCAGGGGAGTCACAGAAGGTTGTGCCGCCTTGACGCTTCGAACAAAAAAAAGGGTAGGATGGAGGGGCCTTGAAGTGGGCTTCGTGTGATGTGTCTCTCATTAATTAGCACGGGCGGAACAAAGCAAGCCAAGGTAACAAGGTGACATAGGTGAGTCGACTCACATGAGACCATGTAGACGACGACGCTGGATGGAGACGGTGTGTAAGTGATACGAGGAGGACACCAAGGGCTCAGGTCATGATGCACGCAGGGTGGTGGATCCGAGGGGAAAGCGGCAAAGTCTGACCGGGGCCCTGTCTAGGATGAGCCATGGCGGCGCCGCCTCCGAGGGAAACAGAAGCAATAGTTGAGTTGAGTGGGTTTGGAAGAGGGAGAGGGAGAGGGGCTCACAAGCTTTTGCATCTGGACCTGCCAACATTGATCCCTCTGCACCTCTCGCTCTGTCTCTTTGCTCGTCTAGTCGCAGGGCAAGTGTCTACTCGCAGGGCAAGTGCCTACTTGAAGGCAGCCAGGCAGGTACCTACCTTCCTGTACGCAGACCATATGCAGTGCACACCACCACACATGCAGACACAGTCGTCTCGAAGAAGCGACCTGCGTGGGGTGGGGAGTGCTCGACGCTGCTCGATTCGGCATGGAGGGAGTCATGGGTTAAGTGGGTTGGTGCTCGCGTGACGGCAGGTGTAGCTGGGTAGGTCTTCGCAAGCAAAGAAAAAAACACACATTCGTCCAATGGAACCTTGCGCTGCCCTGTGCCGTGTCGCTTGTTGGGCGAGTGCGCAGGGGGGCTTGCAGGAAATGACCAGAGGTTCCAGGTCCCCCACAGTGCAAAGGCCACTAAAGCTCAACTGGAACCAGCCTACGGTCTCCCCCTATCGAAGCGCCACAAAGCCACAAACCATTCTCACCTCAGTACTCTCGCGCGGACGGGACGTTCTCTTCACATCAGTCACAGAGCCATCGCCTACGCCAAGGCACGTAGAGCTGTGATGATGGCCGCATCATTTCGCGGGTAGAACATGACAAGCCACCGCACACTCTGACCCGCATCGCCAAGCTTCAGAGCGTGCTTCTACCACAGCAGTAGACCGACCTCGGGACGTGTGAAGTCGCGTCGGAGCTGATCGATACCACATTTAGTCTCGGCCCCCCATTCGACTCCTGTCACCTATGCGCTAAATCCCCAGGACCCCTGGACTCATTTCAACGCTGGCCCGTCCTCACTACCTTATACTGTATCCAGTCTGGCGGCGGGGTCATCTACTGCTGGCCATCTAGAAACGCCTGCTCCCTCCAGCACGCCCATCCACAGGCACGTTTCAACCTCCACTGGTTGCGCTTTTGTCGATCCCACTCCGAGGCCGCGTGAGAGCACCAGATACAGGTGCCCTTCCGACGACGCCCGCAATCTTACCAGACGACCATCAAGCCCGTGGCACGGCCATCGTGCTCCGTGTCCGTTGCGCCTTTCGCGCCGGGAGCCGAGGTCAGTGCCAGTCCACGGCCTCGAGAATGCAAGCTACCTCGGGACACCAGGATTGACTATCTATTGAATCTGGGCTTAGCTAGACCAGCGCTCTTGGTCGAGTTAGCTCCGTAATGTCTGCTAGCATGACGGGGCCTTGGGGACGCAAACCAGCCGCTCTTTTTCAGCAATCAGTTCGACTGGCCTAGCCCAGACTCGTGACCTCGGTCCAATTTCACCCGTTGGAAATCGCCTCGTCCTCATGTGCTGCTGTGTAACGCGCGACTCAATTAGTTTCTGCCGTGGCCACCACACCTGGGGGGTTTTGCCTCTCCTGCACGAGGACGGGTGGGGCCATCGATCTGCACCACGGCAGTCCGGGCGATCATCTACAAACATAACAAAACCTCCGATGGCTAACGACGGAGATGACGATCACCGAGGGCGGACTGCAGCCGACCTGATCACTGTTTCCACTCGCCCTCACGATGGCGCGATGAGACCGGCGACATGCTAGCAGAACATCAGAACTGGTGCCGATCAACTTCCGAGACGCCGCTCTGATGGTAGAACCACACTGTGGCCTTGCTCCTTTGACACGAGGCAGGTAAGCCTGATCGACTTTCTGCTCGGAAGCGCGTGCGACATGGCAACGATGTCCGTAGCAGTCGAAGAATCGAGGTGCCATCATTCATCGAAGCATGTATCAAGGCACAGCTGCTAGTCATGTATGCATGGCAGCCAACAAGACGAACCAACGCCACCGGAGCGCACACGTGGAATGCTAGATCTAGAGTCAAGCCTTTGAGTCAGCAACGAGTAATGAGCCAGGAGCCATGATTCACGCTGCCTCTGCTTGAAGCTACTGCCAACGGTCGCTGGTGATTCAATCTTCGTCCCCAAGCTGGCGCTTCGCAATCTTCGATGGGCCATCACTAGCACAGCCGCAGCCCTGGCAGCCTGCTGGTTTTGAGAGTCATGATGCGTTTGTGTAAACACCAGATGCAAACCTCTTTGCCATCAGTCTGCAACGCGCGAGCTACCCCCACAGTAGGA